GGCCGCCGCGGTGTGGGCTCGGTGCAGTCTGCTCGCTCGCCTGTTTTAGAAGCGACGCTTCCGAAGTATGTGAAGGTCCGTCGCCAGATTTCTTCCTCTGCGATGGAGAAGTATGAGAAAATCGGGAAAATTGGCGAAGGCTCCTACGGAGTTGTTTTCAAGTGCAGACACAGGGACACGGGTCAGATTGTGGCCATCAAGAGGTTTCTGGAGTCCGAAGACGACCCTGTTATAAAGAAAATCGCCCTCCGTGAGATCCGCATGCTCAAGGTAATCAATCCAGTGATTCCTGAAAGGGAGTTTTCAGGGACCCGAGAAACACGTTAAAGTGAGCCCTGTGAAGTGCATGGGAAGTGGTCTCATCTCCTTCCTCCAGGACTTTTGCCCTGAGCAACACAAGGAACACCCGCGTACAAGTCACTGGTTAGGTAACACACTGGGAAGCAGAGACTAAAAGGGAAGGCGAGAGGACAGCCCCTTTGAGATGCTGTGAAGGTTTTAATTTTCCACCAAAAACGTCTCTCCTGCATCCTCTACAGATCTGGGGTTTGAAGCCATCGTGCTGCAATGGCACAGGAGCTTCAAACAATCAGGCTTACCAGCACTCATGGTTTTTAAACTGCTTCGCAGTTTTCTACCGATCTCTTGCTCTTTTAAGAGAATGAACCTGTTCTCAAACTGGAGGAAGGAGATAGACTTTTATCTAGTACTGCTGAGCATTCTGGCTCTTAAGAGAGGTGTTTTTATAGAGTAACCTTAAATTGTCACTTTAAAAATGTGGGGTTTTTTTAAACCAACGCTAGGAGCCTAGCTCTCAGAAGCAAAAACAAAAGTTTGTTTTGTACAAATAATCCACACACACATACCCCCACCCCCAACACACATCTAATGAAAGAGGCTTCTTTTATTGAGTTTTTGGGGAAATGACGAATCGCAAATCGCAATGATGAAGCCAAATCGCAATGACGAATGTGACATATACTGAATACGGTGTTGTGTGTGAGTGTGTGTGGTGGTAGTGGTGGTGGTGGGGGGTGGGGGTAATCACTTTTTAACAGTTATGGCCCCGGCGTCCGGACAAATATTCCGCCGGACTGTGACGGGGAAGAACAACTTCATGAAATACCAGGGGGTTCCTCGTATCCTTGTTCTCTCCATTTGCTCCAAGTCTCTCTCAAAAGCTCTCTTTCCCCGGGAATTACATTGGTGGGGTCTCCCATCCCTGGATGAACACCTGGATTGGGAAGTAGCAGGCTTTGGGTGGATTAAAGGGAAAGCTCCTATTTGAGTTGGGGGTGTTCTTTACCTGGGGTGGGGTGGGGTGGGGAGGGGTGTTCCCTATTCTGAGAAAAAAACTTCCTTTGCCTCCAAGTGAAGTTCTAACCCAGGGAGGTGGACATGCCTTGGGAGTGTCCATCACCATTTTGGGGGATCTGCTGGGTTCTTTTAACTTGACTTTCCCAGATAGGGGGGCGGGGCGCGGGGGCCGGGGAGGGCTTGCATTTCAAAGGACTCCTTGAAGAAAAAGCCTGTTTCTGGCAGCAAAGGGCTTTCTCTGATTCTGAAGGTCACCTGTGAATGCCTCTCAATCTTCTCACCAATTTATCACTGTGCCCTTACAGGTGTATCTCTTAGAATTAATTAAGTACCTCCCCAGGATGGGAGCCCCCCCCTCTGTCCCCTCAAGGCACACACTGCTTGGCACATAGTACCCATTATTGGATTTAAAATGAACAAAACGTGTTAGCAGTAAATGTAGGTGTTGCCAATAAACTAGGAAGACACCGTGTTCTTGTGAATGACAGAATATTGATTTACTCCCAGGTAGAGTGTGTGCATAGAGCCTGATTCCGGAGACACGCTGTAATTCTAGGGATAGGAAACTGGTGCAGTCCAGGCAGGTGTTTAAGGGTCTTAGCTGAGCTGACTTCAAGGCAGGACTTCGGCACCTTTGGGATATGAGAGGAGCACAGGTTGGTGGCCCCAGGGAAGGTTGCAGCTTAGTAGCGTGGTTTGTCCCTGCTCGTCGCTCACATGGCTGGGCTCCTAATGAACCATACGAAGATCAGGGAAAACACAGGGACTAGGAGGTGCTTCGGTAACCCTTGCCAAGCCGGGTGAAGGTGGGCAGCGGTTGATGCCCTACAGGAGAGAATTCACCCTCGTCCACAATGAGAGTGCAAACGTACTCATCTGATGATGGTATTGGGAGGTGGGGTAATCGTGACAGAAACCATGTTGCAGAGGAAACCCTAAGTCCCTGAAAGAAGATCACCTTAGGTAAAGAAATGTGGTATGATGGGCTGCAGTCATCCCAAGCCCTGTGGCAGGAAGGGACACAGGTTGTGCATTCAGCAGGTGGCTGTCCTTGAACCCAGGCCAGCGCCCTGGGGAATCTCAGTATGCCCAAGAAGGAAAGGTTCGTGTGGTTCCAAACACAGTCAACTACCAACCCACCCACAATCACGGTTACTGTGGTCCCAGACCTCCATGTCACTGAACCTCTCTCTGTGGAAAGAAAATGATAGCGTGATTGGAAGGAGAAGAAAAGGATTTCACGTAGAAGTGGCAGAAAGAGTAAATGTTCCTGGAGGGATCCAAGTCAAGGGCAGACCATTGGCATGTGGCAGCTGAACTAGTTCGCAGCATCATCAGCCATGGACTGAGAACAGCACCTTGGACGTCTGTGACTACTGTCTCTTGTGTCAGGACAAATAGGGAAGAGAAGCAAGGAGAAGTCGTCCAAGGATTGCCATTTGGCAGGGAGGGACCAATGAACCAACAGACTTGTGCATATTGCCAAGTGTTGTTACCTAGGTTGCACAAATGGCACATGACAACCTTGGAGAGTAGGTATTGTTATCTCCACCTTACAAATGGATGGGGTGTGGTTATTGACTTGCCAAGGCCTCCCACTTTGTCAATTGGACTACAAACACTGCTGCTCCCACACACCAGAACCACCGCCTCACCCCAAGCACTGTACTTCCAAGTCTCCAACTGGTCTGCAGAATGTCTCTGGCCTTTGTGCTCAAAATCATGACTGCCTGCCATGGAAGCCTGGTTGCGGATTCTTGGCGACATAATCCGTTCTCTCCAAATCCAGCTCCAGCACCCCAGGGAGTCCTTGAGAGAGTAAACAAGTTATGATCTGCCGCCAACAAATGTGAGAGAAAACACGGGGCAAACATGGACTGAAGACTTTGCAGAGAGTTATAAGCATTGCAATCTACCAGATGCATCCTCAGTAGGAATACTTCCCCCCTGCAGGGGCAAAAAGTCTGACCGTGTTTATGTAGAAAGTATCCATATGCAACCAGTAGTGATACACATAAGGAGGCTTGGTAGAGCACCCTGGTGCTGACCTTTCTTCTGAGGTTGCTTGTAGTGGATTCAACCTGCCAGCCTTTCGGTTGGTTGACGAACGCTTAATGATTTGTGCCATCCAGGAACTCCAGAAAGACTCCTTAACCCAAGCCAAACTCATTGATTTCAACTCATATGTACCGTGTAGGACAAAGTAGACTTGCTGTGTGCTTCCTAAGGCCCTAAGTCACTACAGAAGCCGACTGCCACACGTTTCTCCTGCAGAGCTGCAGTGAGTTCAAACTGCTGACTACGGTTAGCAGCCAAGCGCTCAATCACGACATGGCCAAGCACGTTAAACTCCTTAAAACCAAAGCTAAGCCACTGCCATTGAGTCTCTTCTGACTCAGCAACCTTATCTAGTTTCCAGACTAAATCTTTATGGAAACAGGCAGCCTTATCTTTCTCCCAAGAAGTTTGAACCATCAACCTTGTGGATAGCAGTCCAACCCTTATCTGACAGCGACATCAGGGCTCCTTCGTAGACTCCTTAGGGCACTGGTTCTCAACCTTCCTAATGCCGCGACCCTTTAATACAGTTCCTCATGTTGTGGTGACCCCCCAACCATAACATTATTTTCATTGCTACTTCATAACTAATTTTGCTACTGTTATGAATCGGGCGACCCCTGTAAAAGGGTCATCTAACCACCAAAGGGGTCGCAACCCACAGGTTGAGAACTGCTGCCTTGGGACAAAAAAGTGAGGGGAAAGTGCGTGGTGAGTTGAGTGACAATGTTGAGCATATACCATGTGCCAGAAATATGCTCTCATTTTACATTACTTTAATAATCATGTCTAGAAATAACCCACCGAATATTCTTCCTCCTCACACTGAATAGCCTTTCAATGGGGACCTGCAACTATGGTTAGGCCTTGCAGATTTTAATTCTGTTCAAATCTGTTGGGTGACCTGGACAAGCCCTAATGCCTCCTGGCACCTGGCCTACCTTATCGCCGTGATTTATGCTCCTGTAGAGCACCTGACTGACTTTTTGCTGAGGGGAGCAGAGTGCTCTCAGGTCAGACACCTGTGAAAGCCAAGGGCAGGGGAGCAGGAGGGGGGCGTGGGCAGCAGATTGGGCAAGAGTAAAGCACTGGTGGAAAGATAGAAAGGGACACGTAGTAGCAGGTGCTGTAGGGTTCCCAGGTAAAGCACTTCACACGGTCGGTCAGTCACCCCAGGGGCTTAAACTAGCAGACCAGAAATAACACTGAGCCAATGACCACCATGCTGTAGGCTGTACGGCTGTCAGGGCTCCGTGATCCAGAGCACTTTATTACAAGCCATAACTGCATATGCTCTTGCGCCAACACCCCATCACACTCTGCTAGTAGAATACCATGTCCATGTTCCCTAGCCTTAGAATTCACTAGAACTTTTCATCGTTTTTAAGGGCTTTTGCTCTCCACTCTCAGTATTAGTTGAAGGAATATTTTCCAACTCTTGAACAAAATCTCAAAGGGAAAGGCTTCACCGTGTTTAGGAATTTAGTCACGTTACTAAGATAAGCTCACCATTAGTCAGCATCAACTCAATGACTGAGTGTTTGGATTTGGTTTTTCATAGTAAGGAACTGTGGTGGTACAGTGGTTAAA